CTTTACAGCTGTTCTCACATTTTCTATATACTCAGCAAACTTGTGACATTTATCTGAAAGTGGTCACCAAGTTATTGAAAGGTGCAGTTAAATTCCAGTGAAGATAACTCGGGCAACTATTGATGTGCAGTTTTTTTTTGAAAACGTCTTTGATTTTAATCGGACATTTTTGCTAATTGAGCGAAAGCTGAATCATGCAGTTCCTAGCTAAAACAGGATGATGGGAAGTATAAATCAACTTTAATTTGGAAGCAGCAAACCGTGAGTGGTGCTCCGGAGGGACCGACGAATAACTAGCCGCTCACTATGAACGCTTGTTTAAATTTGCACTACAGTGTATGAAGACCAATATCATGATTACTTACGAGCTGAACTGAAAATGTTGAAACAATGCCTAACAGTAGCGGAAAGTTGAAACTTTTTCCAAAGCAAAATTGAGAAATCAACGCGTAGCAGGTGTAAAACATTTGAGTTTTAAATTGAGAAAACAATCTCTTAATCTATTTCGATATTCTTGATTGATGGAATGTTTCATGAAACGGAATAAGTGTTAGGTTTTTCTGGCTCTGTTACATGTATACTGACATAATTATATGTATTCATGTAGATTCATGTTAAGTGACTAGTCTCATGAATATCCCTGAGTGGTATCACTAGTGACATAAAGCATTAGGATGATAGCTGTCGTAAGTGTCTATTTTTCGTCATTCTGTTATTCAGCCGATCAAACGATCTGTCAGCATTCCCCGATGTTTATCTGGTGGGAAAAAGCCAAACTCGGTCTAGTTATGCAGTATAGATAGATAGTACTTAACCACATATTTCTTGATGATATATGCCAACAGATTTTCTACTTTTTGCATGCTCATCGTTTCTCTCTCTCGTTACAATGTATCGCACACAATCACTACACAAAATTTCTCAGGCAGGTACATCGAATTGTGGTGTTTAACGTGACCATATTCTTTCAGTAGAGGGTTAGCGATGCTAACGTCGTGCTACTTGTTTATTTAATGATCATGGGTTCCGTGATACTAACCGATACAGAAGAAAAAAACCTACGTAATAAACTTCTTCAGCTGTTAAATGTGCTAAATCACAACATCAATAATTATACTCAAATTTTAATTGCTCATAACTTCTACGTTCAACATCTAATATCTCGTCTTCAATCGCCACCTATCTTCATCTTGGTGATCTTGACAATGATTGTCAACAATTATGTGTTACATCTTCTGCTTTGTGTGATTTGAATGCTAAATCGTCAGCATTTTGTGATTTATCTTGTAAAATTCTATTAACAACATATTTATCATTAAATGCCACAAATGCATAACCAAAATGTATTATTACCGTTATCTTTAGCTATGGTACATGATAAAACTTTACCATACTTATCAGAAAAGCTTGATAAACGACCATTCATTAATGGGGTTAAAAATTAGCAGAAAGAAAAATACGTTTAACAGATTTTTTTTTACTTCACATGATGGTAAACAATGTTGACATGGTATTTCATTTCTATCAATAGAATATGGTCGTTTATTTATAAATATATCATCACTAATAAAATCATACAATTCAATAAGATCTTCATCTTCAATTTATCTTAAATAACAATGCAAAATTGAATCACAACGTGATGAATATTGTTGTCATTGATTTGTCATTGTAAATTTAGATACATTACGTTTTAATACGGTGCAAGGTAAAGCATTTATGCAGACCTTGGCGACTCTCTCATCGTACGCATCCAAATCTGTCATTTTGTATCGTGATGATTTCAAGAATGGAAAATGAGAAAAAGCTCGTTCAAACACTAGGTGAACATATCGAAACCGAATCGTTACCATTTTTTCCAATCTTCTCGAGAACGTTCCGTTAAGTTAAAAGTAGCGTCCCAAAAAAAGACAAATTTTTTAGGACTTAGTGTTTTTCCTGAAACTTCAAGATAAAAATTACAAAGATGACAGCAACAAAATTTAGCTATCAGTCTCTTTGCTTATAGCTTAGATAACTGTAAATAAAGCTGATGCTAAATAATCAATCAATAGTATTCACATGAGAAACACGTTGATAAATATTAATAGAGTTCTCTTGGAAATGAAATTTGGAATGGCTAATTTATGACAGAAACAAGATAGAGAAGTGCGATTTTCATCTTAACAAAGAGGAAATGAAAACGCATCGAATTGTATATTACAAGTTGTTTGACCTTTTTGAAAAGCAACTTTTCGTGTGAGGCAACTAGTGAATTTCCAACTATCAAGTGTGCATCCGAACCGTGCATAGAGGATCTACAAAACTGCATAAACCTTAGGTTTTCAGATTTTGTTATTCAGGAGTCATACTTATTCTAGTTAAAATTTTCGGTTGATCTTTCGAACAACTGCTGTGACAAAATCCTATTTGTACTTTCTTCCTATGTTAAAAGGAACCATTTTAGACAAATGATACGTGGATTAGAAAATGCAAAAAACAAAAGAAAAGGAATTGCCTTTTTACGTGATGAGCTAAATTTCTGTTTTAGTAAATAATCTTATTATAATAAGAGGTTAACAATGAAAGTTTCTAGAAATTAATTTCACTGAATGAAAAATATTTTTGAACAACAAAGAAAAAAATAACCAACAACAATATTAAAAAAAGAACTTCATGTCATAGTACAATGGGATGCTATCAGAATACTCTACGAGTTCTCTTATAATTACCAGTCCTATAGGTTCGAGGAATGTTAAATATCTTTTTCTTTAGCAATTCAATGATTCGATTCTCTCTAGAAGATCAAAATAAAACTATATTCATAAAATAAAAAAATATTCCTAAAGGAGATACATTCTCATGATTAACTGAACAAATACCAAGAGTATAACTTAAAGGTTTATCATTATTTATTGAATGAATTTTCAGTAAATTTGAATGAGATTTCTATAAATCATCGAAAGTAGTTATCTATTTCATTTGAATACCTTCGATAGTTTTTTGTATATTTTCTTTATCTAATTCAGTCAAATTACTGAATAAAATCCTGTTTATCTATAACGTTACAGAGTATTATTTCCCATGTCATTAAAATAGCGTTACATGTGCCGTTTTTTTCGAATATTGCAAATAAACTATGGATTAAATATGATATTTCTAGCATAGTGACACTTCATCATTATGAGAAGTTCATGTGAATGCAATAATAAAATGATGTCGTATACAAAAACAAAATTCCTACAGTGGCTATTCTCGTAGTAGATTTACTGTGGAAGTAACCAGGACATCTCTATTATAATTTTCTGTGGTGTTTTTTGAGTCTGCTTCTCGTCAGAAAATATCAAAATTAGTAGAAACACATAGAAAATTGCTGGCATTGGATCTTTGGCAAACAGTATGATCTTTTCTTTGGTACGACGATTTCTTCTTCAAAAGTTTTCGATGATTTCTGTCACCTTCTGTTTGAGAAATATTCTGTTTTTTAGAAAAACAAGCATCAATTTTTTTTCATTTTTTTCTCTTTTTATTGTTTTTCTGATTTTGCATTCCAGAATTCTCGAGCATGTGACGTTGTAGTGCTCGTTTCTTTGAATTAACCATTTTTATTATTATATAAAAATGCACTACTATAAATAGATGACTCTTATTTAGGAGTTTTTTTTTTGAGATATTGAACTTGACATCTTTTTTTCCGCATAATAGTAAGAATTTAAAAAGAAAGATTCTGTCAGGTATTGCAGTCAGACATGTTCGTTCCAATAAAAAAGCTTATCAGCACTTTTGCTGAGAGCTAAAATGTGGAAGTCACATGTATTGTTTATTAAAACTCTAGGAAACAGTTCTGATGCCTATTATTTTCGTTTGCTGTGAAAATGTGTCCGAATCATTCCTCCTCACCCACACACTACCTTTACTATAAGGGCCTAGTAGAGTCGCAAAACAAATCTCACTAAATATATAACAAGTTTTTACGCGTCATGTCTTCTGTAGATACAGGATGAGATTTAGAACAACCCGCTATGATAAGTTTTATTTGATATATTCCTGTTTAGTGAAACACACATCCACTCTGTTGCTTGGGCTGCAATAAGCTCTTTTACTTCTGCTATTTATAGCGTAACAAAGGTATAGAGCTGAGAAGATATAATCGATTTTGATTCCAAATATGAGATTCGTACAGAAAAACAATTCCTAAAAATCCATTACCTTCTTTGACGCATGTGTTAGACAGTATAAGAATGTCTATCTGTGTATTTTCTAACTCCTCGTTATCGAGATCATCGCAACAGAAAATAATAACTTTTAACGCGTTTGTCTAGTGAGTAAAAAAGAAAACTCGCAAAAGACTACATAAAGGCGATGCGAAAGCAATCTCAATTTTTGACAATGAGGTTTCAATTAACATAAGAACGATAAATGATTTCATCTAGAGTCAAACCTGTCTGACGAAAGTTTTCATTATTTCTCTTGCTCATGACAGCTGACTGAAGACGATCTCACGACTTTTAATTATTTCGGATAAAGGATGGAGACCAAATCGTCAAAATCATGGTTTCGCGGAACTTACTGAAGATGAACAAAAACTCATGTTGAGGATTCAAAAACGTTTGTATCATCTCGAAACATGGATCTCCTTGACGTAGTTCGAACGAATTGTTAGCGGCTCACCATATTCTAGAACATCGTAATACAAAGTACAGAGTTTGTTATAGCAAGAAATAAACATCCAAAGTATGGAATTCAAATGCGTACACGACCAACGACAGTTTGTGCTGTGCTTCGCACCAATTAACATGCTCATTTTTTTTTATTTCACTTTCACACATACACACAAAGAAAAAAAATATATACAAAGATGTAAGTGAGACAAAAACGAGCTAACTCTAACAATAAATAAGTGAATTTTGTTTGAACATATGTACAGATTTATTAACTGTATAAATTCTGTAAGCGAATGTTTGTTTTTGTAACATTCGACTAAAAATTGCACAAAGCTTAAGTAAAGAAAACATAATCATCTAGGAATTATTTAATGAAGAACAAGAAAGATATCGTCGAGCTTGTTCAGTCACGTAACGTTGATCACGTGTTTGACCGATTAAGATTTCCGTGTAAGTTGGACTATACTAAATAGATAATAAACAAAAGTTATTCAAAGAAATCGTTTTTTTTTCGCATACGCCAGTTTTTTCTTGAAGATTTTTCGATAAATCATATTTATTCAAATATATTGATGAATGATTTTCAGAAATAATTGATTCAGACAATGGAAGGAGATATTCACTAGATAATTAAAAACGACAAGAAATTAAATTTGATTTAATTAATTTCAATTTACTTGAAACAATCTCGTTTTGGACTTGGTGTCAAACGAATTAAATGAAGCTAAAACAATCAAGATTTCATACTATGTATTATTCATTTAAAGAAAAAATAGCCGCCAATATTTTTGAATAACTTTCGATAGAAACAAGATAGAGAGCTTTAGTCTTCGTTATTACAAAGAGAAGACCCATGTGCACAGATACACGCTGAAATTTGATTGACCAGCAATGAACCAAGTTTTTAGTTCGCCTTGACTGTTAATATGAGCGATAGATCGTAAAAATTCTTTTCTTTCGATCTACACAAGACAAACATATCTAGCTTGTTCCGTTGAAGAGTTGTAAGAGTTTTCTTGGGAGTTCCGATTGTAGTCAATTGACCTGGGATTATACGGAAAAGTGTCTAGGCATGAATAATTTAATACGTCTACGTGTCACAAATTATGAGATAACAGTATGAGATCATTTCGAATCAGTATAGTGAATTATTCATGCCTAGATACTTTTACGGATGATCTTGAGTTAATTGGCTGAAATCAGAATTCTCAAGAAAACCCTTATAACTCTTCAGCGGAACAAGTTAGGTATGTTAGCCTTGCGTAGATCGAAAGAGGATAATATTTCTTATCTGCTGATCATATTAACAATCAAATCCAACTAAAAACTAGGTCTAGAATATCATTTCAAAAATATCTATCAAGAATTAATCTGATTGCTTAAGTGCTGTTCAATCCAATTTAAGCGAATATTTATGTGCTTCAGTCTTCTCTTTGTTTTTTCTATCACATATTATTCAAAAAACATCCAGGATCCTTCTTTATTGAAATAGATAAGAATTATTAGATTTTATTTTCATACTCGCTCTGGTGTATTAAGAATACGATATTTTGAAGGTGACGACGTATTTGAAATATTGATTGGTGAAATATTTATGTTTTCATTATTTTTCATTGAAAATGCGTCATCATTTGAAAATAAATTTATATCTGTTGATAATAAAGATAAATGTGGTGATGATGAACAAGTATATACAGGTAACGATGATGATCTTGAAGGTGGATGTGATGAATAATAATCATTAGATGAATAGGAATGAAATAATGGTAGGTGATGATGATGATGTTGATCCGATTGAGAATTTTGACTTGAAGGTGTATAATTAGCGCAAGATGATAACATTGGTAATTGTTTAATTGGTGATGGCTGAGAACAAAGGAGTAAATGTTCGACATCTTGAGAGGAATGATGTTGATAAAGATCGGTGGAGATTTGAGAAGAAGATGGCATAGACTAAATGTAGGTATAAAAAAGCTTGGTTTTGTTTATCATTTATGTTATCTTTTACGTAAACTCGTCTCTGCAATTGAAGATATCTCCTTAATTAATTATTTTCTTGCAAAAGTGAACCTTTAATTAGTATATTTCAAGCGGGAAACAGCAGCTTGCAACACTCAAGTCTCTACTTTTTCCTCCTCAGTACAACTTTGATCACATAGTTGATTGTTCGATCTGTTTAGCGACGAAGCCAAAGCACCAGCTCCTGTTTTGCATTGAAAGGGTTAGTGAAGAGCGCTGCTACTCTATTGGCATCGTGTATTCTTGATAGCACGACACACGTAGCGAGTGTGTCACCTGAATATCAGAGGGATACCAGTACTCTGGCTTCGCCACTATTTTTGTTAAACTATTAACGATGTGTGAGAGAAAAGCATCCAGTGTTTGACTCAGCGTGAGAGCCGAGAGGTCAACGCCTCTTCGAAGACTGGATTAGTGCTCCCAGAGCTTGTGGTTTTTCTACTATGTGTCTATATTTTCAAAAACAAGTGTTTGCTCTTCCGAAAAAGAAAATATAGATACAACACTAAATGCAACCGACGACTCGGGTATCCGTGCAGTACTTTATCCTAGTACAAGTACCATATCATTTTCATAATATGTATGAGTATCAAAAACCTAAATTCACCTGTAATTGATCAGGATAGATTGTTGATACATGTTGTGTTAATGTAATATCAAAATTATTTTGATTAGTAGTTGAATAAAACTGATGATTATTATTACTGTTCACAATTGGTATATGACTTTCGGTTTTGATAATTGATAAAGGAAGTAATATATTTTCTATTGAAGTTTTTTTCATATTTGAAGAATGTATTTGTGATGTTTGATTTGTTAATGTACTTAATGGAATTCGAGACGAACGATTACTATTTATTGAAGTTGATTGATCAAGTTTTGGCCATGAAAAATCAGATGGAATTCTAAGAAAGAACAAAACTTGAAGAGAAAATTTAATTTAATCGCTATATTTACAATGCTGTCCAATCAAGTCCTCGTTTTTTTAAATTTTCAACTTCTAAATGAAACTTTTTTTTCATTGAAGAATTCCAATGATTTTTAATTGAATTATCTGATCGTCCATTAAAATATTTTGCGATTTCAGCCCATTTATTACCAAAATGTTGATGTAATATAAATAAACGAAGATTTTCTTCACTTGTCCATGGATTTTTATTTATTAATGGATTAAGATGATTATGCCATCTAAAATCAATTTTAATACTTCTTTTTTTTCTCTTCATTCAAACAAATTACCTTTCACGACATTGTTTTCCAACACGTCCTTTTAATTCTTTAGCAATTAAACTCCAATGTCTTGCACCATAATCACGTACAAGTTCGATAACTTTTTTATCTTCATCATCAGTCCATGGTCCTTTTGTTATAGATGGATCAAGAAAACGTTCCCAACGATGTTGACATTGAGCATCTGTACGACCATTACCAACATATTTTGATATACTAGACCAATCTTTTAAACTATCATGAGATAAAATAAAATCTCGCAAACGATCATCCTATTTTTAACAAAAGTAAAAGAATTAACATCGCTTTTTGTTTTCTTTCTTGAATATACCTCATCTTTAGTCCATTTTTTATAAGATTTTTTTCTCGATGATAATATTTTTTTAATAATTGGTGAATTTTCATTATAATCTAATTCATCGTCGGTAAAACTACTTCGACTACAATTTTGTCTAACGAATAAAATTTAATTTAGTAAAAAAGAAATCAATTAAAATTTCTTACCGTTTCGTGATCATTCCTAAGAAAATGTCTCAGCGTAGTCAATTTGTTGATTGGAGAGAAAACAATGAACGTTCGCTTGTCCGATCGTTCGTGTTTTTTTTTTCTTCTTTCCTCGACTGCTGTGTTCGGAGAAAATTCGACAGGAAAAACGCGTGTTCGGAGACGAAAGAAATAAAAAAAAAAAAAAAGAAAACGAAATTAGACGGGATAATGTCAATCGAATATTAGAAGCAGGAAGGAAAAAAGATCGAGAGAGCAGACGTACACTTTAAATATATTTGATGAGAAAAGAAAAACTTAGCGTTCTTGCTAAGTGAAAAGGACAGGTTACTCGTGCGAATAGAGAAAACATCTGCTGTACAAATAGTCGAATTTAATTGATGAACTTATTCTTCTAATGTATTCCGATTGATGCTACTGTTAGAAAGTTAACAAACGAAAATGGAAATATTCATTTGATAGAAATGTTCAAAACACTACTGACATCTATATGGAATCAGCTATGAAACGGAAAACAATTTATTTTTTTTTCGCTCGCTTTTGCATTACTTCTTAATGTTTATCCCTAAATAACACTTGGAACATGTAGATAACATAAAAGCAAACCATAAATATATATATATTGATAAAAAAAAATCAGCTTATCGATTGTAACTGATAAAAATAAGCATTCATATCAACTGGTTCGAAATTTTCAATCTCTTGCCGATTCAATAAAAATTACATCGTTAGAAAGAGCAGAAAAAACTGAGTAATGTCTAATCATTTTCTCGGAGGGGTACTCTCAAGTCCCCAGCAGATTTTTTTAAAATACATTTCCCAGCTAAAATAGCTAAAATGTTTCGTTCTCTTTCTTTCTTAGTGAATCACCTTTTCTTTCGTTCTTTCGTTTTCATCATATTCTCGTTTAGATGAACATGTATGCATGTTCATCTAAACGAGAATATGATGAAAACGAAAGAACGAAAGAAAAGATAATTCACTAAGAAAGAAAGAGAACGAAACATCTTAGCTATTTTAGCTGGGAAACAGAGGTCCAACCAGGCCGTGTTTTTCAGGCCTGTACGGCCTGTCAAGGCCTGGTAGATATTTCAAGCGAGTATTATAATGATAAAAGACTGGAGACGAGTTGTGCAAATCGGGTACTAAGTCTACTACTCAACCCGAGCCTGACCAGCCTGTTATAAATAATACTCATAGTTTTCAGAATACTGAAAGTGACAGGCTCAGACAGGCCGACAGGCCAATAATTGCGTGAGCCTGTGACTTTCATCGATTTGGAAATCACGGGTGTTGCCTATAACAGGTAGGTCAGGCTTGGGTTCTGCAGTAGTTTTAGTGCCTTGTTTGCACATCTCGTTTCCAGTATTTTATCATTATCGTATATGCTTGAAAAGCGTATCAGGCTTTGACAGGCCGTACAGGCCTGAAAAACACGGCCTGGTTGGACCTCTGCTGGGAAACGTATTTTAAAAAAATTTGCTGGGGACTTGGGAGTACTCCTCCGAGAAAATGATTAGACATTACTCAGTTTTTTTCTGCCCTTTCTAACGATGTAATTTTTATTGAATCGGCAAGAGATCGAAAATTTCGAACCAGTTGATATGTGTCTGATGATTGGATTTCTAGTTATTCAAACAAGTCGTAAAGATTACCAATATCTCTTAATAGATTGTTGCAACAGAGTTTTTCTATATAAATAAACTTAGAAGAACTTCCAAAGAAAGAAGTCTTTCAAATGTTCAATCACTTTTTTCTGGAAAAATTAATTTTCGAATTTCGATTGGAAACTTTGCATGTAGATAGGTCTTAACGAAAATAGTCTTTTTGTAACTGTTCCCATTCAACGATATAACTTGTATAAAGTATAAGTATGGAAAATAAGCGATTTTCTTGAAAGTAAATAATTTTATATGAAAATACGTTCAAATTACTTGAAATTTGTTCGTATAGTTAACAAAAAAGTTTTGAAAATTTCGCAAATCAACATTTAATGTTAAGCAACTTGCTTAACAGTTATAACATTTGCAACTGAAAATAACTATTCAGTATTTTGTATTGTTACATAAAATATGATTGTCATTTGTATTAATTCTATCTTTTTTCTACTGTGCATTAATCAATATTTATAGTTTAATTTCTAATCTATTTCATAGTCTTAGATGAAATAGGTATATCAGTAGATTTATACATTATTTTGATTAATGAAGAAAATAGTGATAATTGCTGACAGACAACATTTCATGAAGTGAATAGTAATGAAAATCGCTTTCAGTTAATTATTATGAAAAATGATATAATTAATCTTTATGTATATAAGATTAGAATTGTATGTAAGTGTCTTGATTATCAAGATAAAATATTTCAAATAAGTTCTGTCGCCTTACAATTAAGATTATTGAATTCACTTGGTTATAAATGTATACCGGTATGTTTCTAATTCTATCCAATAAAACAAAACATTATCAGACATTTTTTTCACAAGTGCTGAAACTTCCTTTTTTTACTAATATTGAACTGGTTTTGATCAAAATAAATCGACTACTTATCGAAATAAAAGGCATATTTGGAATTAACATAAAAAAACCGAGTCAGGCCATATATGTGGCAAGACTATTCGATAATTTTTATTTTTATTCTTTTATTCATCTCTGATCCCCCTCAGAGTTATATTGAAAACTATAGTTAGTTAAAACGTCAGGTTCAATGTGAAAAACCAGTTCGAAAGTTTTAAAGGCTATGAAAATCCAAAATGACAGATGAATATATAATTAAAGCGATTTTCGATGAACTTTATTTTTTGATATCATTCAAAGGAAAAGACTAGAACTGATTGTTTAAGACGGAAATAAAAAATTATTGGACGACTTCGTCGTATCATATTAGACCAACTCAGTTTTTATTGCTGATTCTAAATATCTCGTCTTTGTCAATTAGAAGCCGAATTATTCTGATTCAAATCAGTCAAATATTAGTCATAAAAGGCAAGTTTTAGTATTTGTGAACATTATGTGTTTAATTAAATTGTCTTGTCTCTAAATTAAGCTCTGTGTAATATTATCGTTTTACACTGTTTTGAAAAATCTATCGAATGATATATCATTCAAAGTGGACTGCTACTTCAAAGTTCGATAAGAGATAAATCTTGATATGGCTGTCCTCATACTGTATATATGAATAAACAATGTCTTCGAAAAAAAGGCAAAGAACAATCTTTGGTTCCAGTTTTAAATGCCATTCAGTAGAGGAAAGACGCAGCTTTCATTTAGTGTATGAATCAAATCGAAAGAATTGAAAGCAAGAGGAAAAAATTCCATGAAAACATTGCATAGCATGAATCTATAAAGAAAAGGGTCATATGGAAATTCGATTTAGTCACACGTAGCCAGATTGAGGACTAGTTCGAATAAACTATTGAAGAAATGTGAAGCACAATGTCGAGGGAAGGAAGAAGACGATTTCATCGCTTAATCACTCCCTATATTTATTATTTTTACCTGATATTTATATGTGCATATATATATATGTATATATTATGAAAAATAACAAATTCGGACGACTAAAAAAATGCTTAAAATCACATGGAAAAGTTGCTTTCTTTTCTGAACAAAATATTTTATACATTGAAATTTTTTTATAGCATACATATATATCACAGAAAAAAAATGTTCTTAATGCTAAACATGCAAAGCACACAAGAAAGTACATAAAAGAGAAATCACAGTACAGTATAATTTTTAGTCAAGAATAATAACACTTGGTATTGAAGGTTTTCTTGATATTGATGGTGTAATTGGATTATTATTTCTATCATGTATTGGTGATGTTGATGAAAGACTTGTATGTTGTGAGGGTTTAGTGACAGCAGAACAACTTGGTTCAGGATCTAAATTAATAAAAACAAAACATAACATGATATTAGGAACAAATAATATTAGTAGAATTATGTATTAGGTTGTTTTATGAAACAGAAATGAAACTACTTGTATAATGAACAAGACAATCGTAAATTAATGTGTGTCATAATATATTAGTTGTAATTCATTATGATGCATGCAACGAGAAGACGAATTATCAAAAGGACTTTGAGGATTCAACATTACTGATCGTCTTTTTTTTGGAATCGGAGTCTTTCTCTTATCAACGATACGTTTGTACTGAATAAGGATGCAATATCGTGACGGTGGTTATCAGTCTTAGGTATAATGCTACACTAGTTTACACATGCACATAAAAAATAACGATGAACATATGATAAAACTACGACGAAAGACTTATATTTTTTTATTTATTTTTGGACTCCGAAAGTCTTTAGTCTATTCTTGTATAATTCAGCTTTTTTCCTTGAAATGACCTCCCCGACTAAAAAAAAGTCGTAATTAATCCAAGATCACCATAGTTTAATCAAGCGTTCACCATTAGTCTATACGTACATGCTTAGACCAGTGCAAACCAAACGTAAGATCGATGTATCACTAATAGAGCCTAACGAATACAAAATTTTTGAATTCAGACTGGTCCGTTGAAGTTCAACCGCCACCGTTGCATCCGTGATATAGGAAAGTCATCTAACTTTGATAGATCGTATGAAATAAATAGATAAATGATCATGCATTGCTCGAAAAAGATGAGTACACTTCAGTTCTTAGCTTAATTGATGAGTTCAGATCAGTATTTCGACATGTAAAGCAAGACAAATGAATAGAAAGATTTCATGATAATGCAAGTATCCATATTTGAATTAAATATATTGACTCAATTTACAATGTGTTAATTAATTAAAAGATGGTCATCTGTTATATTTAAAACTTCCTTTGAGAGACTTTTAATTATGGTGGCGTCTTTTCATACGAAGAACTTTTTTTTATAAGAGCAAGAAATTTTATGATAATCGCTAGAAAAAAAGACAAACTATTTGAATTCAAAATTACCAGTTATTTATTTCTAATGGAAATTCAAATAAATTCTTTTCCGGTTCTGTTTAAATTAAAAAAAAAACTCGAACTGAACCCATCTCTGCTTTCTAAGTCAGCATTTCTATTCTATGGACATCTTTTCTTTTTTCAGCTGTAATAAACAATGATAATTAAAACAAGCAAATATATGTAATTCAAATGTTCATTTCTTGACAAAGTTCAATCCAATTCTTACTTCCTGATGGAATAAGTGGTGGAATTAAATTATTCTTTTTTAAAACTTTTGAAGTTGAATTAGTCGTTTGTGGAAGAGGCTCTAAAATGATAAATATTTTAAAAACAAGTTGTTATTTCTGTTAAAAACATTAGAACAATAATTTACTGATAGTTCCTTTTAAAAATCGATGTGTGTTTTCGTATGATATTGGTAATTTATTAAGTGTTGTCTGTAAAAAAGTTGAATCCGTATTTGTTATTGATGAATGTAATGAAGTTATAATTGTTTGTTCATTTTTGTTCGTTTCCGATGAAGATAAAATAAAAAGATGTTGCCTATTTGTACGTACGGAACATTCAGAATCATATTGTTCGTTCTGTTCAATCATGTTATCATATTTATTATTTAATTTTAATGAATTCATCAGTGTATTAAGATCATCAGTTGGAAATATTAAGTTGATAATATTACTTGGCAAGACATATATGAGACTATGCGAATCTCTAGAATGATTTATAACAAAATATCAATTTTTTTAAAATTTTATTCATATAAAGATTTTTCGATGTATAATTTTGATTGGGTTGGGTAAAGAAAATCTAGTTTAAATTCAATTATAAATGAAATTCAAAATCGCTCTTTTATAAGTAAACATTTAAGAGTCGAAAATTCTTAAAATAGGGATCTTTTTAGCTTAATATCAAAGTCACTATGACATCGCGTTGAGAAATGACAAATGTGTTACACGTAATCACTAATAATAAGAAATGTTTGTTAAAATATAGTTACATCTTTTTTTTAAAGTTCATTTTTGAGTTTTGTCAATATGTAAATTAATTTAAATATGAAAGGCATATTAACTCCATATTGTAGCTGCTGAGATATTGCTTTTCTACGAGTTTTTTAAGTCAACACCATGGTTCCTATTAGGAATAGTAGGAAAATTTGTTTTCGAATTCTGAATTGAATCTTTGCGCAGGAATCGATCTTAACCAGAATAGTTTATATTGTGAAAGTTTCCAGTATTTTGATTTATTCCTTTCTTAACGCAAGAATATTAAATCTATTAGTGTATATGATTAGTGTAAAAAGAGAAACTTTCATTATAACTGTAGTTTAGCATAAGAACAATGAAAGTATCTGAAAATTTTAAAATAAATTATTCTCGGCGAGTCCAGACTCTATGGAAAGTTTCAAATTGAAATTTGAAAATGAGTTTTCTAAGTGTTCCTAAGGGAGACTAAATAATTCTGCAAAAAAATATAGTATCTCAGTATTCATAGCTCATTTGAGTCCAAAGTACTCCCCAAAATAGAAGTTTCCCCTGGAGAGATCGATGTAAAAGATGTATTAGAAGTCTCGGAGTTTCTATTGTGTCGACACAATTCCAGTTTTTCGAGCAAAACTTCAAAGATGTTATTAAATTACTCTGAGTCGGGCATCATCTCCGTATTAAAAGTTTTTTCCACATGTCAAACACTCATGGTTAGGAAGAATTTCTAAAGCTCATATTTACTTTTCGTCGTCTTCGGTAACATTGATATCCACTTTCACCCAAGTGGCATTAGCAGTTCTCCCATAAAGAAACTTCCCTCCTCTAAAATTTTTGAACACTTGCTCATTTTAGAAGCTCCTGGAGAATCTATTGTGACAAGAGGTTTACATACAGTATGTAGTCTCCACTCAAAAGCGATTAATCACTTGGAAGATTTTCCTCATTAGTGTCCAGGTTCTACTTCAAAACAAGTCAATATTCGTCAAAAAAAGCTGAAAATTGAAACTAACATATGGAAAGATAGTTCGAAGTCTGATCTATTGTAGAAGACATGATTTTTTCATATGGTACTTAGTTTTTCTTCAACAATTTTAAATTATATGTGTCATTTTCTGTTTGAAAAATGGTTTTATTTTTGGTCGAGTAGCTCGAAATTCTCTGAGAGTGTTCATTCTACATACTGAATTTCGTTTATGTTTAAACGCGCACGACAGATTCCCTTTTTGTAATCAAGCTTTGTTACGGTTATATAACAAAGTACTTCTATCGTTAGAAAGCAAGTTTTTTGGCTGTTTCGAAACATTGAGGTTTTCTCCATTTAAAACGTAAGAATTCTAAAAAAAGAGCTCTTTCATTCTCTCACAAACAAAAAGAAATTAATTATATTGAATGAAGGTTTACAGAGAATTTTAAGTTAGCAAATAAGCTATCTTTGATTCTTGTTTGTTGAGTACCTTCTATAAACGTTATGATATTGTGCTGAAATCATCGTGTGATTTGAATGCATCTGGCTTAAGATCGAATAGCTTTGTTTTTTCGGATGATTTAAAAAATCTTTTTCTCCTTTTATCTAAAAACTCTTAGATCAAAGAAAAATAAAAGACTTTTATTATTTCTAACCTGTTATCTTCTATGTCCACAATATCATTAACAATTGTTTTCAAACATCTTGATACTTCATCGACCAATCTTAATATTTTGAATTTCGGTTGAAATTTTTGTCTTTTTACTATTGCTTGTGTTTTACACATACGTCTAATAGTATGTTCTTGACATATAGCATATTCTAATGTTAATGAATGTAAACATAATGGATTTCGACTTGAAAAGCAACGACGGTGTTTCATCAATACATATGTATGCGTTTGTTTCTCTCTAAATTTTGGATGTTTTCTTATTGATGATGATGGTGATAATGATGGTGGTGATGATGATGATAGTAATGATACTGACAATGATGGTTGAGAAGTAATATCTTGTTTTTCTGATAAAAGTACGATATCAATATCTTCAGTTTTCTTTTGTATAGGAGGTTTTTTCTTAGAAGGTTTACGTTTAGGTTTTTGATTATTATTGGTTGTTGGAAAATTATCGGTTGTTGCTGCATTATTAGGTTGTTCATCAGTATGTGTTATTGTTGATGATGTCGAAGTTATTTTTGGTTGCGACGAATCCATACATAAAGCAAATGTTCCATCTTGACAACGTGTAACATAAAGTAAATCTAACTTTTTTGGATCAAAATTATCATCATTAAAATGAGAATGATGTTTTTCAGTTATATGTTGATATAAATTATGATTTGAATATGTATAAAATGAACATTGATGACAAAAAAATATATGAGTAAAAAGATGTTGAAGAAGTATTGAACTAAATAAAAACAGAGAAATAAATTAATTGTAGAACAATAAGAAAAATAAGATGATTAACAAACCTTGTAACACTTTTAAATTTACAGATATTACATCGATAACATTTTGAATCATAAAATGCTGATAAAATACCATTACCATTAAGTGGTTGACGACGAATTTCTGGTGTCGCTGTTGTTGCTACCATTGGAACAGGCGATGGCGAAGAAAATCTTGGTGAAAATATTGGTTCACTTCGATGACTAAGTATTACAGGTGGCGGTTGTATCTAAATTAGAATTTTTTTCATTTTCAAGAATAATTTTAGAAAAGATAAAGTAAAGACAAAGATATGATTTTCTAGAGAGATACTGAGAAATAGAACGTATACTCAGAACAAATAACTCTCTAAGAATTTTCTTAATATCACGATTAAAGTTCATCGCTTGAACAGAGCAGAAAAATTCGATAAATAATATTGTAGAACTTTAACATTTAAAAGTTGTTTTCTTGAATAATTCAGTATGTTTTTTCTAGCTTTATACAAATACAATAACGTGATAGAGTATGTTTAAGATTAGAACTAAATGCGATCTTTCTCATGATGCACTGTAAAATCCGTTTCTAAGACAGACCTTAATCTGAAAGTTTATTGTGAAATATTCAAATTTTTCGATTGCGTGCACTCTGAAATAAACAAAACCAGCAATTGTCGTGGTATATGAATGACGTGGGAAAGATGTTTTTATCACAGTTACATAGTAGTATAGAAGCAATCAAAAGATCTGAAATTTTTATAGTATACTATTCTAGTTCAGATGTGTCTTTATACAGAATTTTGAAGTCAAAATTCGAAACTCCATTTTTCTGATGTTTCTGAGTGCGAGCACGATATTCAGCTAAAAACTACAATATTTCTGTATTAATAAATTGTTAATTCGAACTTTTTCCAAAGTATCATTAGAACCTACATGATACACATAGACCTGACTGAAAAGCAAGACGACGCTTAGAAACGTACCCTTGTAAATTGTCTTAACGTATTTTTTTTTTATGTCGACTTTTACAACTTTTACTGAGAGCCCGAAATACCCTTTATTGTAAAGCTTAAAAAAAAAGATATAATTTATATACCTGACAGGTATCGATACAAAAATTTTGCTAGCATAGGTAAAAGATAGAACTTTTCAAGTGCTAGAAGAGTTTTTCTTAGTTTAAAACTTCAACGAATAGATATAAAGAAAAGTTTTTTTTCTTTTTATCTGTCATACGTTCTTGTAGAGAATAGAATTGTGAATTTTTTTAGAAAAAAAAACTAAAGCATGACGATGAACCTGAACTGAAACATTGAGAAAACACTTAGAGAAATAGTTATGCTTGCCTAATCAGAGGAGAACTAGAGAATGCTCAGCTCTTCTATAAACGATTGAATTTCGATTAAAAAGAGGTTTGAGTCCCCATCTAGAAACGTTCCTAAAGAGTCTCCACTGCATTTACAGACAACTTTTCTAGTTAAGCCACTGACATACCTGTTCACGATTGTTGATATTTTTTAGAAGCGGGAGGCAAGAAAAATGCGGCAGAAACTACTTTCATCTCCGAATTATTGAAAATAGTTACCGAGGAGGGGTAAGGGATGGATGAAGAACAACATTTGCAGTAACTTGATCCTTCCACAAATCCTATTCCCATCAGAATGGTATGGTCTGCTTCTTTCAATTTCATTTTATGCTAGAGAAAGATAAATGGTGTTTTAAAATTTTGTTCTGTTTATAGTTACCATGAAGCTCTACAAAATTGACAGAAAGTCGAATATTTTTTGTGGAGGAGGAAAAAAGTCTCCATCTCACTGTAATCGAGAACTCGGCATTTGTTACACATACATTACAATACTATTCTACTTAGTTATGTCGATATTTCTTTTTAATACGAATAATCTGTGCTCATGTGTTATAGAGAAAGACAACTAATGTACTTATGTTCATATAAACGAAGCTATCATAATAAATAGAACCACTCAAAATACTACATATAATAAAAATAATGAATCGTTTAATATAAAACAATGCTTTTCCAACGAAAAAAAAATCCTTCAGTCGGATGAAAAACTTGTCTAATTTAAATTTTTAGAGTTTTGTATTATACTCGCTATGTTCCAAGAAAACTGAAAGAAAGCCTTGATGATAAATCAAGGATTCGTATAGCTATTGATTGAGTATACATAATATGAATATCAATTTTAATATAATTATTATTAGAATGAGTTTTATAAAAACTATACATTTCATATGTTATTCTTAAGAAATTAATGAATAAAAGAATTTTATGAATATTAAAGTCTTTCTCTTATAATAGATAGTTCATATTTAATTTCCGTAACTATTACGGTCATGACTCTAGTGAATGCAGTCAACCATGAGAAACACAATTTTTATTTTTCATCCTACACAAAATTATTATCACAATATCCAAGGTGACATATCTAATATTATTTTTGCAGTTTTACATGATTGATATGACCAAAAGAATACGAACTAAATAATTTAAAGCACGTGATAAATGCAACCGACTCCTAGTTTATTCGCATACCGATTCGCTTCACTTAATCGCAAAAAAAACATTGTTAAATCGAATGTGCAAACAATCAGTAGTATTGTAATTTGCAATGTAAATGTCTACAGACGATTATGATATCAGATAAACTCTAATTTGAAAATAAGATAATAAAAGAAATTGAACTTACAGAATGTGCATAAGGCATTCGAATGACTTTTCCTTGTTGAACACGTTGCGCAACAGGTCGAGTAAATGCTGATGTTGATGTGGGTAAAGGTAATGGTAATGGTGATGACGAAGGTGAAGACATTGGAATATTTATCGTTTTTCGTTGTGCTTGTTGTATATATCTATCATTTTGAAGAATTCTCGGAAACAATGGAACAGTATCAGATGGATCTAAATGATGTTTCGTAACATTCATCACAGTATTTAAAGGTGGAATTGGAGCTCGAGATGCTGTTTGAATTTGATTTGGGTATGTCCTTGTAGGTGTAGGTCTTTCACTTGTCCAATCAAAAGCAAAAAAAGAATGAGATTCTTGTTGTTCATGAATAGATTCATCTGAATCAATAACTATTGTTTCAGGTTCATGATTAATGAAATTTTTTGCTATATGCAGTTGTTGTTGTTGTTGTTGTTGACGATGATGATGATAATTATCATTTCGTTGTTTCTTTGAGAAACTAAACGTTGATGGCTTAATCTGAGCATTTGTATTTGGTAATTTTCGTTTTTTATGTGGTAAATTTTCGTTCATTGCAGGTTCAAATGAATTACCATATGGCATACTTAGATCAATGCGACTGTCATCATCGTTATCATCATCGGTTAAATAGAGGATCGGTGGTGAAAATGGGGATGCCATACAGATTAGGAAATGTACACCTAAGTTGGATTTCTTTTTCTCTTTTGTTATATGAAAAATACAAAAAACAGCAAGTTAAAATAAAGCTAACGTATAACTCATGCATATACGGGCGCTACTATCATATTTAATTTCATATGATTAGTAGCGTAACGAAAGAAAAATTATTTGATTGGTTGAAGTATAAAGTACAATTGCTAACATTGTGATTTATGATAATAATTATTGTATCGCAAATCTTGTCAACGTTTACATTCTTTCAGTATGCTTTTGACAAAAAAGAGAGGTATAGGGAGTGGTACTACTCCAGTTTAGGCACAGTGTGTATATATGAACAGAACAGAAAAAAAATGTGATTGGTGAGAAATTGACCATCTCATATAAAAAAATCATACAGTGACTAAATTAATATATCACTTCTTAAAGATGACAGCAGTGTAACAGTTTTTATTTACCGTCATTTGATTTACTATATTCAGCAAAATACCAGGCATGATTATTTTGTTGACCACATTGCTCAATTGTTGTTGGGAGTGTTGGTAATAGTTTCAATTTTTGNAGAAGTACATGGATCTGATTGAACTGGAATTGAAATTTTTGTATTTAAACACTTTTGCGATTGTAACTTTAAATTTAAAATAAATCAAAGAACAACAACATAAAATCGAACGGGAAAATATAGAAGGAGACTGTTGCATGTCAAATTATTCAAGAAAACGTTATTCCACACAACATCACACTAGGAATCGAAAAGATAAATAGTCATTATTGACTCTCACTTGTTTTATCAACTTTTGAAAACGAATATATGGTTCTAAATAGGCTCATGAATGTACGAAAATAGTTCATGATAAACAAAACAAGCTACCATTTACCTACGTTTAAAAAACCAAACAAAATCAATAAACATATCAAAAACCAAGATACCCAAAAAATATCAACCAGCCGCTTTACGTGCATGAACTTGAATAATAAGTCTTTGCCTATAGTGCATTTGTGTGTACATTTTAAATAAGCTCTCACATCATCCGCGACCACAGTAACTGTTTTTTGTTGATTTCTGTATCATTTAACTATAAAGGATTATATCCACAATAGGGTGTGGGTATCGGGTGTGAGATGTGAGTGAGTGTGGGCCGTGGGTGGGTGTGAGGGTGGAGATGAAGTATGGGACGTGCATGTGGAGGTAGGAAGGAATCATACCCACACTCATACACCCACACTCACTCACGCTCACACACATTCCACACCCATACCCACACCCTATCCATTAAAAACAACGCGTTTCAACGCATTCAGAAAAGTGCGTTTAAAGTCTAGCGAAAACGTTCGAACTGGAAAAAGACGCGTTGAAATACTGTTTTATACAAAGTTTTTTTTTCGTCGGAAGTAAGTTTTCTTTATCATCTTTTTGTTATAAACTTTTTTTTAATTTTTGACATTCTATTAGCTTCACTGGCACATTTAATAAAATTGGATTTTCTGAATGAAGAAGATATGAATTCTCATTATGACATCAATTTTCTATTATGTTTAGCTTTACAAAAAGTTGCTTTTCTACCATTTGATGATATTATGGATAAATATCGATTTTTACTTTTTCGTGACCGAATTGATCGTAAACATGAATTAAATTCTCAATGGCGGGCACTACGTATTAAGTCTGGCGAGATAATGGCAGCTGTACCTCGACGTGATAAAATAAATTTTGATGTCGATGCAAAATATCATAAATCATCAAATGTTCCTTATTTAAGATATTTTATTGCTCATATTCATCAATTTCAATTTCGTCATGCTATGTGTCAATTATAAGGTGTAACAGAATGATTACATATGTGGAATATATATGGAAATGAATATGTTGGGGGAAATTTTAAAGAAATGTTAACTATGGGAAATTGCAAACCGTGGTCAGAAAGTTTAACAGGAGAAAATAATTTAGAACCACAAGCCATGTTGCACTTTTTTCAACCATTATATAATTGGTTAAAAATGGAAAGCTTAGCAAGAGGTTATCTAGTTGGATTGATGTAATATGATATACATGAAATTAGTTTTCAGAAGTCAACTATGTTTTTCTGTGACAGTGATATAATAAATACTTAATATACCTATTTAGCAGATCTTGTATACTTTTATGGAACATATATATACTCCTCAATCACTTTTTCAAAAAAGGTTTTCATAGCACCGGAATGGGCATTGAAAGATGGGTGTGGACATTACACGTCTCTTTGCCCACACCCACACCCATACCATACTGGTTTTAAGCGATCGACAGGCGAACGTCGGTCCACTAATCCACATACCAGTCAATTGGTTAAAGGATATGTAATTTTCATAGAAAAGGCGATTGCTTTCATTTAGTTTTGATATAACTTGATTGGCTTAAGCTCCAAAGTTATATCTAACAGACCCAAGAAAGAGATAGGGTATATCGGTAACAAATCGCTGTTCCAGTAGGCCAGTCGGCATAAAATTCGTATCGGACCAGTCTAGACCAGGTGTTTATCGATAGCGATGCCATTTATAATGCGAGCATAGATTAAGAGAAACTCTATACTTACAGCCTTATTCGTTCTAAATTCTCATTGACTTCAAATCGAACAATTTACTTCTTATTCAATTATAATTTCCTTCGGATAAAACTGGAATTCTATGTTGGTTCAAAAACAATCTGGCTAAAACTCGAATTCTACTTTTGTTTGGATAAATTCAGAACATGATCGTATTCCAATTTCGACCGTAAGCTATGCGTACAATTACACTGAGTATTTACATGTAAAATATGACAGTGAGAGAAATTGTTTGTTTCAGCTGTATATAAATGATGCTCACAGGTAATTCATTTTTCACTTGGGAGACTTTCTCATGATCAACACAATGCAGAACGAGACGTAATTTTTACAGTGAAAATAAAGACGTTACTAAAAAACATTCAAATCGAAAAATTGAGTGGACCTAGAAAGTACAAAATTTATCTAGTGCATAATGTTAGGCGTCCGACGACATGAGCACAATGCATTATTTTCAATTCGATATGGTCATATTCATAAGACTGAATTTTCAATTTCTTCATATTTCAAATGTCAATGAATTAAATCCGCCGTCATTTTTGAGGAAGACTCTGAGTTTTTTGTTATTAAGATCCATCAAATTTTCTGAAATTTCAGATCATTTCTGTTAGCGAAAACGCAAAGTTGCTATGAACCGATCTCCGTGATGCGCCTTCTACTGTAGAAGAAGAGTTGATAAGAATAATAGGAAAATGCATGCATATCTTAAATCGCTTAGACTATTTCCATTTGCACTGTAGTTGAGTAGGAAATAATCTGTTTCAAGTCAGCTATGATGTAGGGAAAGACCAATTTTTTTTGCTGCAGACCGCATTTCTTTACAAAATTACTCATAGATGAATGATTTACAATAACGGCGAAGAAGCAAATATTGCGAAGCTTTGTCTCATTATGCTGCAAATACTATGAGTGCTTGAATTAACTATATTTTTAGACTATTGAGAAAAGGTTCATTGACAAATACTCGGCACCAGACGATACGGTAGGAAGAAAGGAAAGCTGGATGATTTCCATCTCTTAAATTGAGGGCACAGCAAATGTTGAGCATGCGCTAAATCTTTGATTACTGATTTTTTGACGAAACAAATTTATGACTGATACCAGTAGTTTCCCGGTTACAGTGTCAACAACTATTTGTTCTAGTCCAATGACGAATTCTTATCAACACCCTTACCTGTATTCTCACCCATGATCAATGAAAGAACTTTTATAAATAGGAGAATGAAACAAAACATTTAAATAATATGAAACAAGAGTGTTTGTTATCCTTTACAAAACAAGAAAAAAGAAATGTTTTCGAATTTCTCTTTAAGACTTCAAAAGACATTGACTCTACAAGTCAATAATTGAAAAGAAACAACCTTCTCAATATTGATGAAATGACCTGTAGATAAATCTTTAGCAAAAAAAAAACAATTGAATCAGCTATTTGCAATAATTCTTCAAATAATAAATAATATTCTCATTTTTATTTTGCTACTATTCTGTAATACAATGTTTCATTTAAATGTAACTGAATTAAAATTCTGTGATGCGATAGAATTGAATTGAATCATATTCACATTAACGATGAAGACTGTTGCTAGTTCCAACAGTCTTTTTAGTTTTTATTAGTTTTTTCTTATTATTCATAACAGCATTTACATGAGAATGATTAGATTTCTGAGTGCGATTTAACGATTTCGAACAATAACAGATTTCTCGAAGTTCAGGTCTTTTATATGCTATACAAGCTGATGTTTGTCCGTACTTATTTAATCGACTTAAATGTGCTTTTGTTATAGAAAATGTATCATTCAATGGATTATATTCAGCTGTTAATTCAAATTGACTATGTCCAGGTATAGTTTCAAATTGCATTTGATAATATTTTGTTTGATTTAATGATAAACTTTTTGTTAATTTTTTAAACGTATTATTACGAAAATTTGGAATACGACCATCTTTATCACTTGAACCAATAAATTTTAATAAACGTTCATTAGTTTTTAATTGATTTGCTTTATTTATTTGATATAAAATTAATTTCGAACATTGATTTTTATATTCTGATACTAAATCATTTAAATAATCTACAGCTTGTTGTCCAAATTTTTGAATAATTGGCTCATTAATTGATATATCATTCCAGTGAAGACATGCACACCAATGTTGTTCTATATTAGCTTGTAAACAAGTTCGATTTTCTGGTATTAATTCAAAAAGACTATAGGCACGATTTGATTTTGATTGATATGGATCATTTGAATGAAATTCAAATAAATGTTCAAATGTTTCATGTAAATCAAACGGTGTAGTTAAACGATGAGAATTTAAACGTAAATTATACATAATATGAGGATATTTTTCTTGAAATTTTAAAGGCATACGAATAGATATAAATGGTAAACGTTCTTCCAATTTACCCTGATATGTTTTTCTTAATGTTGAAAAACGAGCACCATGGTCAGTCATTAAAATAAATATTGTATTATCAAAATAACCATATTCATTCATGAATTTTAAAAATTCAAGTAATTCATCATCACCATATGGTAAGCGATTATTTGAGTCATGAGAATATTGTGAATGAAAAATAAAGGAAAATTTCGGTTGACTTGGATACATATGAAATAGATCACGTGCCCAATTGAGCATTGATTTTAGACGTGTTATAGAACCAAAACAATATGGTTTAGATGTACGCATAGATTCAGCAATAAGATAAAATGGGCGACCATAATGGTCAACGGGTTGATCACGAAAACCTTTTAAACGCATTTGAAATGTACCAACGGATTGCAAATCTTCAGCCCATTGAGTAATATAACCATTATCTAGATATCGAAAAAGAAAATATTTTATTTCTATCAATGCTACAAAATTTAACCACAGATTTTGTATTAATCGCAACAGCTCAAAATAAAAACTAAAGTGGCGTAACTAAAAAAATGTTTTAAGCGAAGCTCAACTGTTGACAGGGATGGCTCACGAGTAAATCTTTTCAAGTGTCAAACGGTTTTTCGACCAAGACGATGTTCATTTGATAAGTAATAAAAAAGTTAAGAATGGTTTGGATTTCCAAACCTTCGTTCTCGAGATGAATTTTTCACCAAAAATTTGTGGTCCCCTCAGGTCACGTGGACAATCGACTTTCAAATCATTAGGGAAGTTGTAATTTTTCTATGATCTTCTATTCTGTGATATTGAAATATGCGAAATTTTCTCATGTATAAAAGCTAAAAATTGCACAATCAACTAATATCATTAAAAATTTCGTTCGTGCAAAGTTTTAGGTCGAAAGTCAATTTTTCAAGTGATCTGAGGAAGACCACACTAGAATGATGATTTACTACTAACCAGAAAAATGTACATTTGCAGAGTATAATGCACGTCTCCATAATCATAGTGTTTATCTGGTAAGAAAATGATACTTCATATCTCACATTAATGATGATATTATATAGAAATAAAAGTTGAAATATTTTATGTTATACTTTTAAATTTTTTCCAAATCCAAGGAAATCGATCAACTGTTTCTGCACCAGCATGACCACGTCTTGCTTCAGGTAATTCTCTTTCTGTTTTTCCAGTTAAAATAGGTAAAAGTGCTGCCGGTGTACCATCACCAACAATATTATAACCTAGAAAATTGAATAAATCTAATAATTAAATATCTCAAAAATTTGACATTAAATCAAACCTTTCATTACAATACTTCCTAAGTCTTTAATTAAATAATTATAACTCTTTGGTAAAAAACGCATAAAAGTCATGCGAGAAACAGAATCAAAACCAAACATTAATATATTATATCCTAAATGCGTTTTAACCATTGGATTCCATATATGTCTAAAATAGATTTTAAAATAATATTTCTAAAGAATAAATGCACAAAAAAGAAAGAAAACCAAGAAATTAGTAAAATACCTCATATGTAAGCCAGCATCAAACATAATACCGGAATGTATATTTGAATAAAAACTTCCATCACGTGCTCGACAATCAGCACGAAAAAAATCTGATACAAGAGGCATTTTATCTACAATAGGAAATAATCGAGCGCCTTCCATTGTTGAAAAATCATCTTTCGATCGAAGAATAGGACGATAAGCACAAACAATAGCTCCATGTTTTTGTAAAGCTTGTTTCGATAATCGAAAAGTGCCTGAATGAAATTTAATTCATATTAATTTTTTCTAAAGATTTTTTTTTGTTATCCTACAAACCATTATCGATATAAACCCAATTTGTTGC